CTGATTGAAATCTGTTTTCACCATGAAATCCGTCATGACGAGCACTTCAAAACTAGATCCCATATCGACATGTTTCGACGATATTTTTTGACGGTCAAAAGTTGCCATACTTATTGCACATAAATTGTCATGATGTTTACATTGAAGTTGTCATGATATGTTTTAACTACTTTTTCTTCTATGTTTAAAGTAAACTTTGACATATTATAAAAAAGGGAATTAAGGAGAATGTCGTTTTGGCTCTCGGCCTCCATGGAGGCCTTTATTATGAAAAATTCAAAATTTTAAAAATCTGGTTTAGAAAAATCTGAATTTTTTTTGTATGAGTAAACAAAGATTTGAGGCGTATGTGTGTAAAATTTCAGGATGAAATACATTGAAATGCGACCTGTACAAAAAAGACAAATACATGGTCTGTGAGGATGAATAATATCATGTGTTAAAATAGCCCCAGATTTGCCTTTTTTGCTCAGTCCTCACTTCAAAGTATATCGTCCTGGAAATTTGCACACTTGTGCACTATGCCTCCATCTATGTCTGTATTTTTTTCGGATTTTTTTGTAATGTAAAAATATAAATTTTCACGAATTTTGAATTTTGCATTTGAATGCCTCCATGGAGCTCGGCCTCCAAAAGCAGTTTTCAGGAATTAAGAAACTAACTTGCCGTTTGGATCATGTTGCTTCGTACTGACACTTATCGTTTGGGTTATTCAAAATACCACCGACGTGCCAAAAACATAAGACGTCACCCTCAACTCTTCCTAGTTCCCCAGATTTACTTGTAATTTGACTCTGTTCCTTCCACAAACCCTACCCTGCTCTTGCCATCAACAAAGTGGGCTGGATGTAAATATGGCTTGTGCAGTTTAACCCCTAGTAATTACTCCCTCTGTAAACTAATATAAGAGCGTTTAGGTCACTACTTTAGTATTCTAAATGCTCTTATATTAGTTTACGGAGGGAGTAATATATTACAGCGGGAGCCTCTCCCACTGTCCAAGGCTAAAAAAACATAAGGCGCCACTAATAAACTATCTTTAGTGGCATAGATACCGTGAGCAGCGTCACTTGTATTCTAGGAAATACCTGCCGCATGGGGTATTACACAGACGCTACTGCTGTCACTCCTATCATAAACGTGCTCTAAACTACCGGTACTTTGAGACTTTACCAAGGGTGTAGTATGCTAAATGGGCGCCATTGTTAGTATTCCTATCATAGGCGAGCCCCTAACGACCCAATGCCACAGACCAAATTTGACAAAGCATATACAAATATTCCATAATTAACATAATAAGCACATATTCGTATGAAACAAAATTTAAGTACATTATATGTGCTACTTAATGTTTCATTATACATATATCTCAATGGATCAGGGACGACCATGCCAAAATTATAACTATGCCTGGCAAAGGTCAAACTATGACATCTTGCTTATCATTGCTCCAAAAGGTAGTACACTACCTATAGATAGCTAGCTAGCTATAAACCGTTGCAATGTTGTAGTAGAAGGAAGCGCCTCCAAGAGGTGTCCGGAAAAGTCCAACCCACTTTTGCAAGGTGGTTCTAGCACCTGAGTTGGAATCTATTCGTATCCCTGATGCTTTCCAGGAGCACATGCGTGCCATCCCAGCATCCCAGAGGAGATCCTTCTGAGGACGAACACTCGTTGTGACTAGTGGGTCAAGCTCCGGGATGCAATGAGATGCTTTCCATTGATCAAGGGTGTTGGCTTTGCCATAGCTAAAAGTGTGCAGATTCAGTACTTACTCACCTTCAAGGTCTAGACTGAAGTTGATTTGAGGGTGGTCATCTTCGACCTTTTTCGCGTTGAGGACTTGGTGTGGTGTTCAAATGCGGCAAGCATGATCCAACGCTTGCCATGATCAAGGAGTTGTGTTTGTTGTGTATTAGTCCGTGAACCCGGAACTAGTATGCCTAAATAGCAGTGTGGTCATACCTCCGGTTATGTATTAATGCTAAGACAATTATTGTGTTTATGTTTGTGTGTCATTTATAATGCTTTTGGGTAATGTGTGCTAATATTAACCATATGCTTATTAATTTGAGTATGTGTATGTGTATGACGATCATGTAGGGGGGCAACGACGCCCTTTATGTGCAAAACGAATTGTGTTTGAATGAACTAGGGATAAAGTTGTACAATGCAAATAAACGAAACATACTCCATATACCCTGCTTTGCTTCTGGGTTGCATTTGACCAAGCAAAACCAATCCAATCGAACTATACTGTAACACCATATTGTAGACTGTCATCTCATAGGTGAACATAGTAATTTTAGATGACTCATTTAGAGCTTCTTTCTAATAATTCACTTAGCTTTGAAGTTGAATTCATAAAAGCATGTTTCATATAGTTTGCTTAACTTCTTTTGTTGTAGTTGAGCTTTGCACCAATGACGCAATGGGGAAGGTGGCTAGGGTTTCTCTCATACGCCTCCGAGTGCCTTCCGGCCCCACCAAGGTGGGAGGACCCTTATTTAGGGTTAGTTGTGTTGTTTAGGTAGCCCTAGCCTTGGCCAGGGTTCGGTCTAATTGTCCGACCGACGATGGCAAGGTGATGGCATCATTGCTGGCATGTAATAATGTATTCACGTCTTGTCTTAGTATCAAAACTGTTGACTGGACTTTGTGGATGACGTGTGGAGCTTCGGTCTGGGATGACCCGGGCCCCGATTTTGTGTTCATTTCGTGCAAGTGACTTTGACGGAGTCCTTCGGTGGTGTGGACAGCGACGGTTCATGTTTCAGTATGTTTGCTTTTTCACTGTTCTATGAAGCATGGTCGTTTTGGCTTCGTAGGGGAAGCTAGTGATGTAAGGCGTCCCTGGTGCTATCTGGTCGTATCTTAGGTGGTTATCCAACGTTTCATGTTTCAATACGTTTGCTTTTTCACTGTTCTATGAAGCATGGTCAGTTTTGGCTTCGTAGGGGAAGCTAGTGATGTAAGGCGTCCCTAGTTCTATCTGGTCGTATCTAGGTGGTTATCCAACGTTTGGTTCCTGGGTGTATATATACCCTATATGGAAAAATAAATTAGCAATTCAACAAAAAGTCAAAAATGAAATCTGAAAATATTTCTGAAATAAATTTGACGTTTGTTATACTTGTGAGAAAAAATTCACAAAAATAAAATCACCCTTTGACTTCTTTTCGAAAAACAAATTTTCGGTCAAAATAGTGTGAATAGTGACCTATAAATCTGTTGGAAAAGAGGCGCTTAGGCATGCCTAGGCTCTAAGCAATGGCCAAACGCCTCGCCTAGGGCATAAATGGAGGTTTAGGCAGGGCAAGTAAGGAATTTTCTATCCAAGTAAGAAATCATGCCACATACTGCACTGATATGCCAAACGGGTTATATTTCAATAGTAATAGACGGTAATTAACTTATTTATATGCCTTAAACTAATATCAACACCCATATAATAATCACGAATACACTACGAGTAAAAACTATATTGCCGCCTAGGCCGCCCCTAGGGTGCTTAGGCACCGCCTAGGCACTAGGCGAAGGCCAACCACCTCGCTTATGCCTACCACTTTTTCCAACCTGGCCTATAATAGCAAATATTTTTTGTCTTTTTTGCCCTGAAGTCAATGTTGTTGTTTTTTCGTGAAAATTTATATACTAGTGCAAAACAAAGTCAAGTTTAATCTAAAAATACTTTTGAATTATTTTGATTTTTTTGTTTAATTATTAAAAAAAATCTATATAGAGTATATATACAATCAGGAACCAAAGGGTATTTCCCTTATTGCGATACAAGATATACATAGATCTTGCACATAGATGGGTGTGATGATGCACTTTTCATATCCAGTCGGCACGACAGTAGCCTCCGCTCTCTGCCCACGGCCGCCGAGCCACGCAGCATCATGTCGACGTCGAGCTCGCGCAGCTCCGACGTCATCCGTTGCCGTAGCCTGTCGATCAGCGACACCTCGGTTCCGAGCGCGACCATCCTCACATGCTTCTGCTCCTGCCGCTCCACGCAGAACCCAGGCACGCGGCCCCACGCGAGCACCGCGCCCGCGTAGGAGACAGCCACCGATCCACCCTCCAGGCAGAGCCTCTGCGACTGCGGGCTCCCGCTGCTCACGGCGTGGAGCGAGAGGTTGAACGTCGATGATATCGCGGGAGCGGGCGCCTGCAGCCCGTCAAAACCATCTAGGTTGACGGAGAAAGTCGGGAGGAGGATCTGTTTCGGAGTAGTGCCAACGTGAACTATGAACGCCAGGAGGATGGATACTGATAATGCGATCATGAAGGCGTAGACGAAGACTTTGCCGCCGTTGCGCGATGCGACGGCGGGATGATGCAGCATCGTGCCTGCTTCCAAGTCGCTCTTCTCCATGGCAGATTCGGTCCCTGCTGCAGCTTCCAAGATGATGTTCTCCGTGGAAGATTTCCGGGCGTGAGGAAATTTACTTGTTTTGAATCGTACTCGACGTATCACGCGCGTCGGGTTTCGACTATATATACATCCAGGACTTTGCCGGAGTTGGAGTTCGTCCTAGATAGGAATTTGCTCTTAATTACATATGTAGTCCCTTCATTTTAAAATAAATGTCTCAACTTTGTACTAGCTCTAATATAAATTTATACTAAGTTCAAGACATTTATTTTGAGACGGAGGAAGTAGTATATAAGTTTTGTATGAAGCTTTTATGTATGTCTAAAAAAGAAATTCTTTGCATAAAATGAAGTCATATACATTAAAATTACCCAAATGATAAGTGTTACACATGTAACGTCTCGCTTCACGCCTTGAGCAGCCGGAGCCCGCGGACACAGAGGCTGGTGGATCGGTGGTTGTCTCCTAAACGGGCGCGGTGCTCGCGTGGGGCCACGTGCCTGGGTTTTGTATGGAGCGGCACGAGTAGAAGCATGTGAGGATGGTCGCGCTCGGAACCGAGGTGTCGCTGATCGACAGGCTACGACAACGGATGTCGTTGGACCTGCGTGAGCTCGACGTCGACATGATGCTGCGTGGCTCAGCGGCCCTGGGCAGAGAGCGGAGGCTATTGTCATGCCGAGTGGATATGTAAAGTGCATCATCACAACCATATATGTGCAAGGTCTATGTATATTTTATTTTATTTTTATGTATATTTTACTTTATTTTGCGAGGTAAGGTCTATGTATATCTTTTAGGGGGTGTAATTGCACTTATATGGTCTGCCATATTTTGTATCGAACGCAGTACAATCGCAGTTGCTCACATACACACACATACGCTCACCCATATGAACATATGCACACGCATTGTACCCTTATGAGCAACTCCCACGTAGTCGACGGGAATCTCTCCTCCCACTGAAGCACATTGTCGGAAAGTGTGAAATAAATTTAGAAAAATGTGAGCATTTCTTCGGATCTAGTCAAGGATTCAACGGCAATGACCGTGGCTCCAGGTGCTGGTCCTTAGAGCACGTGCACGAAGACTTCCCGACTGTTATCGACAAGGTCAGCCGGCTCCAGTATGGGAGCGGCGACAGTGGCGCGTCGGCGGCTAGTTCTGATGGCGGCAATGATCGTTCGGTGGTCCAGGGACCTTGATATAATTTTTATTATGTTTGAGGTACCGTGTACTTCCGGTGAATCTATATAATAGATCTGATCTTTTCGCAAAAAAAGGCCCAAGGCCCAGATGACGAGCACGTAGGCTCATGGCACAAGTTACGAAATCCCTAAGTCACTTCCTAAGGGTGGCGCGCGACTTTGTATGTTACGTACCTTGTCCATCGCGAGTTGCATAGCTTCAACGTCCTGACATTTCCCCAGTGGAGCCCGTTGCTGCATAAAAATGTGACATTTGAAAATACAGTTGGCTAGGTGAGAAGGAAGGAAAACCGACTCAATAATAATCTTGTTTCTGGTAGTCCATAGGGCCCACAACATCGACCCTAAGCAATGCCACAAGATCCTCTTGTGCCCACCTTTTTGGGCCTTATCGATAACCAGCAGATCTGCCCGAGAGGTCGGGTTCCATTATTGACCCAAAGCCTCGCGAACCGCACTCCATGCAAAGAGTGCAAGGTGGCAACAAAAGAAGACCTGGTGAGCGTCTTCGGGAGTAGCGCACGAAAGTCCCATCCAAGGGCCCTTGCCATTTCACAACATTGATGGAAGTGGGTAGACAGTTTCTAGAAATTTGCCACAAATAGGTTTCACCTTAAGTGGAAACTGGCTTTCGATAGCCCCTTGGCTACATCCAGCGATGGACCTTGTGATAGCTTAGCATATAGAGATTTTGCCGAAAACTAATGCAAGGTCGTGAGCTTCCACGAGACCACATCCGTTTTGGCAAAAAGAGCCAACACAATAAGCCTACCACACAACTCCTCCCAGCAGTTCCCTTCTGTTGGCGATAGCTCATGACAAAAAGTTATTGCCGATGGGGATGATCGCAGGGCTTCAGTCACCGAGATGCCGAGATCAATCACAATCACATATAAAGACTGGTAGCTCATCCACATAGGCTCTGGATCTAGCCACCGGTCGAACCAAAACCGAGTAGACTTTTCGTTATGAATGTGGAATTGACCTCCCAAGGAAAAGGTTGTTTTACTGCTTGGATTCCATTCCAAATAGATGATCCATGCAACTTAGACTCGAAAAAAGAACCGTTCGGAAAATATTTAAATTTCAAAAGGTCTACCCAGAAACTTGTAGCGTTTTGCGATAGCTTCCAAATCCACTTGGTTAGTAAGTCTACGTTCATGTGCTTAGAATTTGTGACTGCTACGTCTTGAGCTTGCGCTGGTTTTTCTTGAAGAGGAAAGGGTGATGCAGCAATAGTAGCGTAAGTATTTCCCTCAGTTTTTGAGAACCAAGGTATCAATCCAGTAGGAGGCTCCTCAAAAGTCCCACGCACCTACACAAACAAACAAAGAACTCGCAACCAACACAATAAAGGGGTTGTCAATCCCTTCACGGCCACTTGCAAAAGTGAGATCTGATAGAGATAATATGATAAGATAAATATATTTTTGGTATTTTATAATATAGATTGGAAAAGTAAAGATGCAAATAAAAGTAGATTGAAAGCTTATATGATAAGAGATAGACCCGGGGGCCATAAGTTTCACTAGTGGCTTCTCTCAAGATAGCATAAGTATTACGGTGGGTGAACAAATTACTGTCGAGCAATTTATAGAAAAGCGAATAATTATGAGATTATCTAGGCATGATCATGTATATAGGCATCATGTCCGCGACAAGTAGACCGACTCCTGCCTGCATCTACTACTATTACTCCACACATCGACCGCTATCCAGCATGCATCTAGAGTATTAAGTTCATAAGAACAGAGTAACGCATTAAGAAAGATGACATGATATAGAGGGATAAACTCAAGCAATATGATATAAACCCCATCTTTTTATCCTCGATGACAACAATACAATATGTGCCTTGCAACCCCTATTGTCACTGGGTAAGGACACCGCAAGATTGAACCCAATGCTAAGCACTTCTCCCATTGCAAGAAAGATCAATCTAGTGGGACAAACCAAACTGATAATTCGAAGAGACTTCAAAAGATAACTCAATCATACATAAAAGAATTCAGAGGAGATTCAAATATTTCTCATAGATAAACTTGATCATAAACCCACAATTCATCGGATCTCAACAAACACACCGCAAAAAGAGTTACATCAAATAGATCTCCACAAGAGAGGGGGAGAACATGGTATTGAGATCCAAAAAAAGAGAAGAAGCCATCTAGCTAATAACTATGGACCCGAAGGTCTGTGGTAAACTACTCACAACTCATCGGAGGGGCTATGATGTTGATGTAGAAGCCCTCCGTGGTCGATTCCCCCTCCGACGGAGCGCCGACGAAGGCTCCAAGATGGGATCTCACGGATACAGAAGGTTACGGCTGTGGAAATTGTTTTTCGTTGGCTCCCTGGATGTTTCCAGGGTACGTGGGTATATATAGGAGGAAGAAGTAGGTCGGTGGCCGCCCGAGGGGCCCATGAGATAGGAGGCACACCCTGTAGGGGTGGGCGTTCCCTCCACCCTTGTGGCCGCCTCGGTTGCTTCTTGTCTTGCACTCCAAGTCCTCTGGATCATGTTCGTTGCAAAAATCACGCTCCCGAAGGTTTCATTCCGTTTGGACTCCATTTGATATTCCTTTTCTTCGAAATACTGAAATAGGCAAAAAAACAGCAATATGGGTTGGGCCTCCGGTTAGTAGGTTAGTCCCAAAAATGATATAAATGTGTAAAATAAAGCCCATAAACATCCAAAACAGGTAATATAATAGCATGGAACAATAAAAAATTATAGATATGTTGGAGACGTATCAGTGACCCCCGAGCCACTATGTTTCTTTGAACGGCACAGCGCAGCCCATTTAACCATGTGATACTTGTGCTTAGTCCCCGCTCCTTCCCAAAAGAACTGGAATCTAGGCGTGTCGAACTTGACATGAACTCCGTTAGCCAAAAGGAACATGCCCATAGTGAACAGCGGAAGTGAGGAGAGACTAGAGTTAGTCAGGATCGATCTGGCCCCCGGGGACATAAATTTACCTCGCCATGGGCACACCCTACCTGCCACCTTCAAGTACAACGACTCCAATTCCAATATAGAGATGTTCCTATTGGGAGACTGGGAAGCCAAAATATTTGATTGGGAAAGAGCCTAGCTTACAGTTAAGCAGGTCCACCGCCCTTTGGCTTTCCCTTGCATCCACCCCCATGGCAACGACACCGCATTTAAGAAAGTTGATCTTTAGAACCGACATCGCCACGAAGCAAGGAAGCAACTGCTTAAATATTGCAATATTGTGAATGTATGGTTCGAATAATAACATCGTGTCGTCGGCATACCGTAGCTATGCCCCCGGGATAAGGTAGGCCACCACCCCCTTGATGTGGCCCGCCGCTATGGCCTTCTCCAACATGTCTAGTAGAGCATCGGCCACAAGGTTGAACAACAGAGGCCATAGCAGGTTGCACTGCCTTAGGCCATGCTTGTTGCGGAAAATGTTCTCAATTTGTCCATTGACGACCACTGCATTTTGTCCTTCCGAGACACTACAGGATGCGGTGCAGGCATTGTTGGGAATCGTAATAGAAAACAAACAAAAAATTGCCCCTACGATCACCCGAGATCAATATGAAAATGCATAACAGGTTGGGATCACGATCGTTACTGTCACCGAGTTGCAGCGGAAGAAGAACGTGTCAGTGTAGATCATACTTGGGGTCCCTCGAACTATCAATGAACGATCCCTCGTATGCCCACGAACTATCCCTCGAACTGAAGACCGAAAGCACGACCTCTCTACTTGGTTGTAAGCGTGCAACCTTCACGATCCGGCAATGCTTCGCCATCCA